GGGGGGGGGGGGGGGGGGGAGAGATCCCTTTCTTTTGACACCAGCAGACTTCGTTAGCCAACACTTTTCAACTGGGACAGACAGAGAAAACGCCAATGGATTTCTGGGCCTACCTAAAATAGGTTTATAGATGTATCTATTTTGCTAAGCAAGTTTAGGGCTCTCAAGCCAACACTGAAGACTAAGGCCCAGATCCTCAGAGGTATATAGGCTCCTCACTTGCAGTGATTTCAACACCTCTGAGGACCTGGCCCTACGTAATTTGGAAGCCCAAGTCCCAGTGACTTTCAACAGGACTTAAGCGCTAAGTCACAGCTGTGCTTTTGAAAGCTGAGCCCACATTTTCAAGAGTGATTTCGGGCATCTCATTTTCTGAGTGCCTAACTTGAGACACACTGAAGTAGGCTGATTTTCAGAGGGTGGATGCTCTGCACTTCCTGGTAATCACGTCCCTTTAAATTGTCTCAAGTTGAGTGCTGGAAAAAAGGACACACCCTCCCCCAAAATCACAGGTCCCTTGAAAATGTAGGCCCCAAGTTTCTACACAGAAGTAGAATCAGTGCAATATAGGCAATAGCAGGGCAGGTGTACCCCGGATTGCCTCAAGTCTGATACGATGGAACTACCTCTAGTGGCGGTAGGATAGTTTAATCTCCATTCTCACTCAATGTTTAGCCTCGCTAATGAGATCTGCCAATTGCAACGTGGACATGTGTCCCTGGGGGAGGTGGACTGAGATCCCCAACTAAGGCCCTGACTCAGCAAAGCCCTTAAGCAGGTGTTTACCTTTAAGGAATAATGGGATGCAGTCTTTCCTAGTGACTAGCGAACTGGTCTGGGAGTCGGGAGACCTAGGTTCTATTCCTAACTACCACTGGCCTGCTGGGTGACTGTCGGCAAGTTAATTCCCCTCTCTGTGCCTCAGTTTCCCCACCTTATGATACTGACCTGTGTAAAATGCTTTGAGATCTGATGAGAAGTGCTGGGTATTGCTAAGTCCCATTGAAATCAAAGCGACATGCCTGAATTCCTGGCTCAACAAGGGCCTAAATGGGTTGCAGAAGTGAAGTACAGTCATTACTAACCCCCACAGCATCCTGGCTGAGGTATCCAGACAGGCTCCCGGTTCCATAATGGATGGCGAAAGCTGTGCCGTTCTTCTGGTAGGTACTGGATTTGGAGGAGTCGTATTTGTGATGGATCACTGCAGCGAGGAATAGGAATACAGGAAATACACACAATATTAATGCTGCTCAGCAATTTATGCAGTGCGTTGCATGTTTGAAGCACTGGTCGGGCATTAACTAATTAAATGAGCTGGTCCCTCCCCCAAAAAAAAATAAAATAAAATAAAAATAAAAAAAATTAAAAAAAAAATTGGGAAAACTTTCCCAATTTTTCTGTCAAAATTTCAACGAAAAATTGAAATTAAAAAAAGAAGCTGTCAGAAAGTCCTAGAAATCAAATGTCAACCCTCCTGAGAGGTGCGATAGGGGATTATTATCCCCCTTTTACACCTGGGGGGAGGGGAAGAAGCAGAGATGTAAAGGTCACACTAAAGTCAGTGGTGGAACCTAGATCAAGAAACTCAGGACTTCCAGACTCCTAACCCCATACTCATAACTCCAGATCATGCTGCTTCCCCTGCTCTTAAAAGTAAATGTGTGTTCAAGGAGAGGGTAAGCAGAGCCCTGATTCTTACATATACCAATTCCGGAATGCCTTATAAAGCATTTCTAACATGCAAGGAATTCAATTATGAGATCCAATTTAGCAGTTGAATAGGATTTGGCTCCCATATTTAGAGACTAGACTACACATGGCTGTTATGTCAGTGGACATTAGAAACTGCAAGAGTGAGGCTCAAGTCACCATAACTGCCCCAAGAGGAAGATGCTTTGTGCTATGGAGAGTTTGGGTGAATTTAAGTATATACAGGTATTAAACACAAACATTAATTTTTGTATTCATTCATTCATATCACAGAGTGTTTCTTTCTTAAAGGTGATCTGGAAAAGATTTTTTTTAAATATACATTTTCTGCCCTTCTTTATAAAGATGACCTGGAAGGTTTTAGTTAAAAAAAAGAAAAAGGGGGGGGGAGGGAGGAGAGGGGGAAAAAAGGATGTCTTCCCCACACCTATTTGTTTTATACCTTACAAAGTTGAGGAATTTTATTTATTTCTTCCCCAGTTTTGCTCAAGGGTGTAAATGGATGTCTCAGCAGACATGGATTGTTTTTAATTATAAGGCTGAAGACAACAAGTCATTAGCAACGACATCCTTGCTCCCAAATGTTTATTCATCCCTGGAATTAAAATAGGTCAAAAGACAAACAAGCTAAAAAGAGGGGACCCGATACATCACTGCCTGGCACCTTGGATATAACATCTGTGCAAACTCAATTCCAGTTTGGGAGCATTTTACATTTGTTTTGCACTAGAGTCAAATGAGCTATACAAGGTGCAAGTAGAGAATCAGGACCACAGAGCTGTAAACAGACCAGCTAAAATCTCAGCTAGCTTACTCCTGGCTCTTGGGTTGTCAACATTTCCCTAGTTCTCTAGAGGTACAGAATCTCCAAGATAGACCAGTCCTGAATCAGAGTCTCCAGCCTAGACAGGGCCCAAAATCTCTAATATATAAAAACAAGTGGGAAACAAACCCATTAAATATATATCTCCATCCACCTGACAAACCACTATCAATCATAAAGGGCACAAGTCCAATATTCCCCCCCCCACCTCGGCTTTGCAGGTCACCTTTCATGTTTGTATATTTGTTGGCTCCACTTTCTCCATTCTGCTTAAGTAGCACATTTGGTGGCTTTTAAAAGGCATTTTACCACAGTTGGGTTTGACATCATCTTCTTTGGAGATTTATTATACTGTAACATCACAGGGTGAAAACCTTGTAATTTATAAGCCTTTGGTTTTAGCCACAACATTTTTTTTAAACATGGTTATTATTATAGATCCATAAACATGTGCATGCACATTCTGGGCAGTAATAAACTAGAAACTAGGACAGTTGGTATCAGATCTATCAAGATAGGCTTTTTTGACTGCATTGAGCAACAGGACAACATAGCTATAATTTGGGGAGAAGCAGAGCGACACATGGAATGACTGATTACCCAAGGTCATTCCAAAAAGAATTAATGTGAGTGTGTGTGGGAGACGGGAGGAAGGGGAGGGAGAAGAGACAGGAGAAGGAAGGGCCATTAACTTGACAGCACACTGGACTGGGACTCAGGACACATGGGTACTATTCCTGGCTGTGCTGGTGACCTTGGGCAAGTTGCTTCGCCTTTTGTGTCCCATCTGTAAAATGGGGATAACAATATTGACATCTCCTTTGTAAAGGGTTCGAGCGCTACAGAGGAAAACTGCTGTAAGAGTTGGATATTATTGTTGTTTTCTATTTCCCTCACCCCCCACCGCCAATGCCACTCCCCCATTTTAGGTGGGTCGTTGAAAAACATCAGCATAGACTTTAATAAAATAATAATATATGGAGATATACATATCTCATAGAACTGAAAGGGACTCCAAAAGGTCATAGAGTCCAGCCCCCTGCCTTCACTAGCAGGACCAAGTACTGATTTTGCCCCAGATCCCTATGCGGCCCCCTCAAGGATTGAACTCACAACCCTGAGTTTAGCAGGCCAATGCTCAAACTATTGAGCTATCCCTCCCCTGACCTTTCCTTGTCCCTTTCTCCTTCAGTCAAGGGGAACAAGGGTGTTAATGCCCAGATATCAGCACCGTGCTCCACTAATGCAACTGTCATCACAGGGCAAGAAAAGGGCTTACTCTGGTGAGCCTGAAAAGTGCAAAATATAAAACACTGCATCCTCCAAACCCCTGGGGCTGGACAAACTTAAGGGGAAAGAGAAAGGAGATTCTTATTTTGAAGACCTAGTGGCTGCAGGTGCCAAAGACAAGGGCTGTCTCTGTATTCCCAGAGCTGTGTCTAGCTTAGCCATGCTGCAGCTGCCTAAGCTGGGGAAGCCATCCTGGGAACTGGCATGCAAATGAGAACACAAGAGAGCCCCAAAGCATTCAGTGCTTCACTTGGGTTATTCTCCCTGACTGCTCCAGCTGGCCCACTCATGGGCCAAGAAGTCTGCAGGACAGACTGGTTTGGAGGATGCCGGTTGCCCTCTGCAGGCCAGGGGTTTCTCCCTCTGGCCTTCAGTCCCTGGTTCACAGGGCGGCTCTTTGGTGCCTGTACTGGATACGCAAGGAAACGCAAGGAATAGGAGGCTGTTAAAAGTCATGAGGCCAGGCAGCTACACAGCGCAAGAGCTACTTACAGCAGGCGATGTCCAGGAGGTTGCAATGGACAGAGGGCACCCAGAGATTGGACGATCCAGTGTCAAAGACCACGGTGAACTTTTGCGGTGGCGTCCCAATGCTAATCTCTCCGTAGTACTGAGCCTGAGAGAGAAGAGGAGCACAGAGAGGAGTGTTAATACAGATGGAATACTCTCCTTGTTGCCACAAACTTTCTAGGCGCTCTCGTTCAAAATTGAATTGAACCGGATAATCCTCTGGGGTTGATGCATAAATAACTTAGTGGTGTAAGTCTGCAATTGCAATCCCTACTTCCCCCAGCAGGAGTAGGGAATGGTGTAGACAAGTGCTAGCGGTAGCAAGCTCATAATCACTCCAGTACAGCCTCTTCCAGCAGGAATCATTTGTAGGGAAGGGCATAGTAATGTTGGCTGTGGTGAGCTCACAGCTGCTCCAATCCCAGCCTCTCCCAGGAGGAATTAGTGTAGGAACACGGGCTGCGGTAAGTTCACAAGCCCAGATCCTCAAAGATAACTAAGAGCCTAACCCCACACTGATTTCAGTCCTATGGCAGTCAGCCTCACACAGCAAGAATCACTGAAAGGAATAGTAGAGAATCCAATAGATACAGCAGCATCCGAATAGGTTACAGGTTGGGTAGGAGTCTCCCTCTCTCTTCTCCGCACAGTTACAAAGTGCTGAAAGGAGGGATGGGCTTGTGATGAAAGCCCTGCAGTACAAGTCATAAGGTCTAGGCTCTGTTCCCAGCTCTGCTACAGACTTCCTGTGTGACCTTGGCCAAATCACTTAATCTCTTGGTGCCTCGGTTCTCCTTCTGAAAAAATGGTGGTAATAATATTCCCTTTGCCTGTCTTGTTCATTTAGAATGTAAAAGTCTATTTCTCACTACATCTTTGTACAGCACCTAGCATTATGAGATCAAGGCCTCTTAACCCTCTAGGTGCTACCATAACACAAACAGAGGGAAATTCCTCAGAGAATACCTGGAAGTTATCACACAGACACTAAGGAAGGCTACTTCCAGTTGTATTTTTTCTTTATTAAAGTGATTCTGTCATCTCCCAAGTACCCCACCTGTTGTCAGTTTTTAGCAGGTAGTAACTAACAATGTCAGGAAAGTCATGTGTGAAACAGAACAGGTCCTTCTAAATCAGTATGTTAAACCCCTGCCTTCTCTGCTCTTCCAGGTGCCTCAGAATGTAGATGGGGCTGTCGCCTCCCAGCTACTCCCAAGCATAGCAAAACCATACAGCATAGATCAGTTCCTTTGGCAGACGGATGTGCACCTCTGTGGAGGTTTTAATCCTGCCCAGACAAGCCTGACATCCCTCTAGTTTCTTACCAGCTCACGCCCTCATTTTTTAAAAAACACATTTAAATTATTTAAAATGTAAAACAAAGCAACAGCCACAAAAAATTGGCTGCCCGCAGACAGTACCTTGGGCATCCATCTCCCTGAGCTTTTGTTCTAACCCCAATATGCAAGTAAGTAGGGCTAGATTACACTTGCTTGCTCCTATGTGCTGGGTAGGTAGATTTTAGATTTCCCAGGTTAGGGCCATTAGCTTCTGCTCATGTGAAGTTTTCATTACAATAAGAAGTTTCTAATCCTTATGACAGTGAAGAGAACCTTGCAGATGTGAACCAAAGTGTGTACTGATGCAGTGCAGTCTGAGTCCGTAGATAGCCAGCTCTGGTGCCTCTGCTGCTGCTCTTCACTCTGCCAAGCTGCAGCAGAGTGAAACTGGACCACAGTTTTGCCAATTTGCATTGTTGCCATTCCAATAATGAGGTCAGTTTCAGCCCTGCTGATACTGGGGAGAGCTGTAAGTAGCAGTAGAAGAATATATGGAGCTATTCACTAGGCAGTGGAGAGGAGTCAGGGCTCAAACAGGCTGGGATAGAGGTAGAATAGCAGGGAACTTTCCAAGCACCCTTGCAGCTAAAAAAAGGTAGGTGTGTGAGTGAGAGAAATACTCAGTTTCCCTTCCAGTAGGGAGGGGATAGGTGTAGTAGGGAATACACAATGATCATCTACTAGACCTGCAAGCCAGGGATTGGTATGAAAAGTCCTTGAGCAGGGATCAGAGATAGAGATTCCAAGTAGGACTCCCAGGAGCTAGACAGGGGGCTGACTTCTCACATGGGTAATGCCTTCCCTAGACAAGACGGGTGAGGTAATATCTTTTATTGGACCAACTTCTGTTGGCTACTGGTTTTATTCCAATGGCGCACAGAAGTCTGGAAAGATTTGTGAGGGAGTGAGAGGGAAAAGATAAGTTAGGAAACTCAGAGAGAGACAGGAGGATTTATTTGTTTATTGCAGAGAGGGGAAGGGGAGGGAGAAAGAAAGCAAAGACAAAAAATAGCGGGGAGAAGGCAGAGAAGTGGCAGAGGGAGAGAAAAGGAAGATTCTAGGCAAATGCTGAAGATGCACCTCAATCTACTATAGGAAACAAACAAAAAGGTGGCGTGAAACCAGGAAGGAAACAAAGCTATTACAAAACGAAGAGAGAGGGATTAAGGTGAACAATTATTAATTAGCAAGCCAACTGGCATTGTGACAATTACAGTGCACAAGAGTCCTATTCCCACAAATTGCAAGGGGGAAGGAGTGACAGCACAAGTATTTTGCACCCTGGCTGGCAGGTTTAGTCCTCAGGCTAGCAGAGATCAGAAACTTTTCAAATGGCAGGTGTAGGAGAAGACCGTCCTGCTGAGCCAGGGGAAAGGAAGAGATTGCACTAGTTGTGCCTTGAGTTGTTTAAGAGGGATGCGGGAGAGGTGTTGTCAGTGTTGTGGGGGAAGAGCTGGAACAGCAGTTTAGAAGCAACCTTGGAGTCTCGTTTATCAGCCAGCTAAGTGTGTGGGTAGCTGGACGCCCTGGACTACAGAATGCTGAACACAGAGAGGACGGTACAAAGTACACCCAGTTAGGCCGGGCTGGCGCTCCTGTTCAGGCAGCGTAGATAGCATCCCTTGGCAGCAGCAAAATTTTGCTTATTATGGGAGTGACTGCGGGGAGGGAAGGGCAATCCCCTGCCAGTTGGTTTAGGGCAGAAGAAAGTTGAGAGCTGGGGCAGCTTCTAGGCGTGAGGCACACAGATGCTCTGGGTTTGCTTACTCTGACTGTCACATGACAGAGGACATCTCCCCACCTTCCTAAAGTTTATTTCTGGTGTTGGGAACCATCCGGATTGGGGAGGCAAAGGAAAGCCACATGCCATGGAAGCCACCAAAGCGGGGACTGCTGCACTGGGGGCAGGGGGTAAAATGGGGTCCAGCCAGAGCTGCTCTTCCTCTTAGCCCCTTCCTGGACCCAGAACTGTGCAGAGGAGCTCCCCCCCCCCACAACACACACTGGGGGCAATAGGACGCAGATGGTGAGTCACCTGGCCATTCCTTTCTGCTATGGTCTTGGGGGAAAACTGCAGTGAGAAATCAGCCAGAGACTCAAGTCCAGCTGGTAGGAAGAGGCACTGATGTAGCCAAAGCAGGGACCAGACATACCAAGAACTTCCTCTGCCCTGTGCTGATTGCTCCGACCCTATCTCACCTTCCAATCTCTTCACGCTGGTTCACTACACCTGCCCCTCTTAGCCCTTTCTTCCCTGTCCTGCCCCCTCTCTCCTCTTCCCCTCACTTCCCCCCCGCCCCCCTGAATTTATCCTCACCCAACTAAGCCCATAAAGGTCATGGAACGAGCAGGATGTTTGCTGCCACCACAGTGTTTTGATTTAGTTGGGGTTGGTCCTGATTTGAGCAGGGGATTGGACTAGACCTCCTGAGGTCTCTTCCAACCCTAGTCTTCTATGATTCTACGTTCACCTTGCTTGTGTGTTCTGCCCCTTCTCCTACGCTGCGCCTGTCTTGTCCATTTAGATTGTAAACTTGTTGGGGCAAGGACCATCTGCTATTCTTTGTTTTTACACTGCCTAGCAGAGTGGGGGCCCCAGTCTTGATGGGTCCTTAGGCACTACTGTAATAAACATGATTAATAGTAATAAGGGAAGGCTGGGCAACCTTAAATAAAAATCTCAGGCCCTGATCCACTGACGATCTGCTCAGAGCAGTTTGCAGGATCAAGACCTTAGAGCGAAAGCTATGAGGAAAGGAGGTAAATTTCTGCCCTAAAAAAACAAAACAAAATGCCAAGCCCTTCAGGCTCCTGATTAAAAAGGACATTGCATTGTATAGCCAGCTGCAGTGAGGCAGTGTTCTAAATATTTAGCAGTTTTGTAGGGCAGCTCGGATCACTAAGTAGTTAGTGATCCATTATAATAAACTAATGGGAAGACAGTGGTGCTCTGATTATTGCTAGAACTCAAAAAAAATTAACCCTTTGTGCGCAGGCAACGAGGGATTAGCACAGGACACGTGCCTGACGGCATCAGTTTATGGAATCCTGAGCATGATTGTCTACTGTCTTGCCCCTGCTGTGGTCATTTATACCGCCCCCAAGTGCTAGCCAATAAACACCGCATTAGCTTACAGTGGAGCAGGGTTTGTACATGCACTGGGTATGGGTGTAAACGGCCACACAAGGAGCAAGGTAGTACAGGATCAGTCTTCCCCTCAACAGCAGTTCTGGGAGACTGATCAGGAAAGCCAATTACTAGCAGCATGGCAGGGGGCTGAATGGAAGTGTAGCCAGAGCACAGCAGGGCAGGCTGAATAAAATGAAATGCACATGGAGCTATGTTGGCTTTTTTTTTAAATTGCCTTAACTGAAGAGGTTTCACACATAAGAACTCATCTGATCAGAATAGCCCTGGACCAGCTTTCCACAGGCTTGCCAGCAATACGCTGACTTGCAGTCACAAGGGAAGGCAGTGTAGATGGGCCAGTGATTCAGCACTTTGTTTGTTTAAAAAAAAAAAAAAGTTTTGTTTTGCACTGTCACCAACGTCTGTCCAAACCCAGCACCCCTCAAAGGTCACCCAACAGCTGTGCTGAAGATTTTCACTTCTCGGCATTCTTCCCGTGGGGAAAAGGAGCCATTAGACAGCGAGCCAAAGATCAGCGTACTTTAAGGCACCTCCTTAGTACTAGATGAGAATGACCCTGGGTCGATGCGAAGACCTCATCTACACCTTAATCAGAACCAAGTCAGGGGACCCAGT